TTTATTTCATTTTGTAGTTGCGTGCTACAAATAAAAATTCTTAACCTTTCAGATTCACTTCATGTCGCTAAGATACAAGAGAAAGCAAAACTTGTCTGAAGTGTCTTAGCATACTTGTGCCTGTTTAATTATTGATGCAAGAACAAGCAAACATTTTCAATACAGTACAAAAAGAAGGACAAATTTCATATTTTCATAATTTGGAAGTATATCATACTGATGAAAATCTACTGTAGCATTAATTGTTGTTTTTTTGGTGTCCCCTTGCCCCCCTTCACTTTGTGGATTGCTTTTCAATGAATTTGTTTCCCTTCTGTAATAATGAGCCTGTTTCCTTTATTTATCTGTTCACGGTACAGGAAAAAGCAGAAGGACGAGTGTGAGAGTCAAATATTTTAAAATGGCGTAAGTTCAACAAAAGACAGAGAGCAGAGCTGAGATCTGAAACAGTATTTGTATTTATATCCCACTCAGTGGTCATTTATCCTTTGGAGATATTGGTCAAGACTGGTACAAATTACTTGTAGAAAAAGGAAGTTGAACTGAAGTTGCAGCCCTGAGTTGGGAAATTATGTGGATATGAAAATGAAACATTAGAATTCAGGCTGCAAAATACTAGTTATTTGAACCTTTTTATATTCCCTGCAATAGATACGAACCCACTAACTTGTTGCTAATGTAATACTAAGCTTGGAGGATTGATTCAGGTTGGAGAAAACGTGTGGAAATCATTTCATCAGCCTTGTTTGTGTATAGAATCCTCAGAGGGGATGCTTACATAGGTGTTTTGCAGCCCCAGGGTGATCTTCGTATGCCTGCTAGAAGAACAGCACAAGATGGATGGTACTGTTAAATATTGGTTTATTTCAGAATCACCTCTTCAAAAAATCATATCAGTTGGTGTCTTTAGGGATACAAGCTGTAATTTGTTGATCACATGCAAAGTCAAAGTACACCTACCTTGCACTGCTGATTTTGGTTGGGAAAGAAGTCCTTTCTTGCGAACATGTGACTTGCATAATGAAAAAAAAAAATCAAGTTACAATGTGCCTTGCCCCATAAGAGGCATGCCTGCTTTTTAGTGTTAATAGATTTGATCATTTTCTCTTGGGTACCTGAGTTTTGAACAGTGATTTTTTGTGCTCTGCTTTCCACTTGCCTTGATGGTTATAAACTGGAACCAACATAGCTGTATTATTTTATCTTTATCGCCATTACCATTTAGTGGGTGGTCAACCTTTGGCTTAAGGGCTAATTGTTATGGTCTGTTTGCTTGATGTATTCTGCTGATTCCCATTCAGAGATTTACCTTTACAAGATAACTAAAAAAGTAATTGTTCTTTCAGATCAAAACTAAACCAGGTGTTTCTCAGCAACTTGGATAATTATCATGTATCTTTTTGTAGGTAGTAATTTTCATCACATCTGAAACACTTTCTCTGCTTAGAGCAAAGTTTCAGTTGGTGTTACCCATTCAGTATTTCTTTCAACGTAGCCATTGTGTTCCAATACTGCTGTCAGATGTTTTCTCATTGGCTAGTAACATACATAACACATACATTTTCATTCATCTATAGATGAAAAGTATGTATATATGTGTATCACATAAAGATAATACAGACTGAAGTTATTACCTCAACTTCTCAATGTGTTCTAGTAATACTGAAAATAGTAAGCTTTATCACAATCATAATAGTTAATTTTCCTGAAGACAGACTGAAGATATTTAAAAATAGTCGACTAAAAATATTTAATTTCTTGGGTAGAGCTAGATGAAGATGCTCTGCAGATAGAGAGAAACATGCTAATTCAAGATTTATTCTTGGATGTGTCATGTGCATCCTTCTGATGTAAAGGCCCATAATATAAATTTCTCCATTTTTCTTTGTAGGTTTTTGTTCTGTACAGGCTGGGGGGCTGAGTTAATTCCTTTCTTACACAGAGAGACAAAACCTAATGGAGGTTTTGCAGATTCTCTCCTTTGTCTTCACTCTATCTTTTTTTAATGAAAGAAGTTCCATATGTACTATGCATTAGTAATGAGAACTCGAGATTTCCTGTTTTTAAACAAATCTTCTAGAAAGCGTTGTAGAAAGCAAAAGGAAGCTTGTACTTTTAATTGCTTTCTGGTGAATTTGTCTTTTGATTTCTACAATTCTATTTATTTATTTATTTATTTTTAATACAGTGTGGTGACAGGGCTCTTCTTATGTGCTGTTGTTTTCATTACTTTTGTTCTGGTGTTGCTTGGTATTTGCCCATGCAGTTTGTGTGATTAGACTACCAGACCTTCTCAGAGTTCATAGAAAAGCTTAATAAAACTGGAGTTTTAAATAGTCATCGTCTTCTCCACATTTCAATTCTGCTTTAAGATGAAAGGAAAGTTAGTAATGCTGTAAAAGGCAATTGGGAAGTGCAGAACTTGATTTAGCAAAGATACAGTATTCCTGACCTTGCATACTGAGAATCACGTATTTATTTAATTTGATAATATATTATTTAATAATGTAATTATTATACAACTGTAATATAATAATTACTTTGTGTATGAAGTTCAAAAAAAAATCTGAAATTTTTTCCTATAGTAGCATTTGTTAGGATTTTTTAAATAATGCCAGTACTTCATTAAGCTAATACAAACAAGAGAGGACGAAGGAGATTAAGGATCTCAACTCATAACTACCCTCAAGTTAAGCACACGTGCTTTTTAAGGGTAGATGCATACACAGTGCATGCATGAATCATTGTTGCGACAACATTCTTCATAAGAAACAGTAATTAGAATAATTACGATGCTTTAGTTCTGACACTTGTATAGTATGAGTATATTAAACTGTAGGTTCTGTGAGATGTCATCAATTTGTAGTCATGGATGATGCTTTCAGGTTTTCTCCCTCCTACTGCTTTCTCCCACTTTGAAAAGCCTTGCAACATTAAAAGCTCTTATCTGTGAGCTGTAGCGAAGTTGAATGACAGTATAAGCAACACAGTGTTGTAATATATAATTCAAGAATGGCAGGACTCCAGTGTTCATATTTACAGTCATACCATTTTATAACTTGTTTTTTATATGCATTATATTGCTGTGCTGTAATGTTGGTAGAATTATTGTTAATATCAGTAATGTTTGGTAATCAGGAAAATGGATAGTACAAGTTGTCTGAAATACATAAAAATATTTTATAAAATTATGTATGCAGTTTACAGAACTGATCCAGCAATATGTATATAGAACCACTTGTTAATGGAACTGCCTTTAATCAATTTTTATAGGTTTGTGGTTAATATTATGAGATGTATTTTACCCTTTTTTTTTTCCAAGGTTTGGGGAAGTTCAAGGATTTTGGTTTTCCTGTTGTTGGGCCTGTTTCATTCAATTACATTCAGATCAGGGTGCACAGGGTTACCTGTGTCCTTGTTCGCTTCCTTTTTGGAGAGGCTCTTGTAACATGAAAAACAAAGAAGCATATGCTTTTAAGGAAAAAAATAAAAAAACTTGTATAAAAGATTGGGTACTGAAACTTGATATTGAAGAAATGAGTTTTCAGTGTCTTGTTGCTACGCTGCAAACTTCACATAAAGATAGATGATTATAATGTTTCTTTGAAGATAGCTTGTTCTTGTTTCTTGAAAATCAAAAGCTGAAAAGTCATTAGACAACTGTATTAATCTTGTACTAAAGGTGAACAAGAAAAATTGCTTATGTGCATGTGCTCTGATAACAAGGTACTGCAGATTTTCTTGGTAACCACTTGTTCTGCTGAGCTTTGGATTGAGCCCATGCTACTTCAGTGATGTGGAATATGGGCTCTGCTAAAGCTGCTGTGAATATCTTCCCCAGTCTCTGAGGAATAAAGCGGGTTGGTAAAGGTTAAGCCTGTCACTCATTCCTTCTATTAGGAATGTCTTTATTAGGTAAAGGAAAAACAGTTGCCTCCGTGTAGTGTCTCTCCTTGAGGTTGGCTGGACTTGTAGCATCAGTGCAGCTGAGATACAGATATAATGTTAATAGTTAATACAAATCTACAACAGATTTTATAGAAGATTGGTTAATAGTACTGTTAAGGGGGAACTTGAAATAATACTTAAGTGCCTAAAGCACGCCCCATATTTGCCAGATGCAGAAATATTTGTGTGAACTTTTCAAAACTGCATGAATAGTTTATCCTCTTAGCTGAGCTGAGGGTTAGAGTGTCTTTTTGAATAGTGAAGAGTATCAAGGCTTTTTTGTTAAGATTTGAGTCTTGTTGCAGGTTTTTGTCTTACGCCTTGCCAAATGCAGTGAGCTAAAAAGAAACAGTTATTTTTCTGTGTCAATGCACTCTAGGTTATTAATCTTAAAATGCACATTATTGGCCCATACAACTATTCTGACAGCTCCTGATTTTTTTTGTCTTTTGTTTTACTTGTAGCTTTACAGCAAACAATTATTTTATGAATAATAGGGCTTCTGCCCATATTACTTTTAAAATCTTATTTCACAATAATCAATTTCTCTGAAAATATGCTGCTCTATAAACTGAATGTATGCAAGTTAATTTTAAAACATGGCCTATGTATTTTGAAAATAAATGGTTCAAGCTTGAGTGTTTTCATCTCATGGATGAATTTAATTTACCAAAAATAATACTAAAGACAGTCTGTCAATCTCTTAAGAGATATGGTGAAAGATTTGCTTTAATTGTCTCTCTTTATTGTGTGATCCATTCCTTAATGGCCCTTAAGGTACATCTTTTTATGCTGTTATGTGGGGACTGCCAAGAATTCTGGAAACGGAATGGAACAATAACATACTCCGTGTAAAAGTGCCAGTGAACTATAATAGTGTCTGCTGTTACCTGTCAGCTCTTAGATTTTTCTCAAACAACTATTTTTATTAAAGACAAGTAAAAGGAGTGCTGATCTGTTATTGAATTTGGCATGATATAATATTTTAAAACACATTTTTCTTTCTCTTTCAGCTTTACATCTTCCAATCCAGCCTTACAACATGGGTAAAACTCCTGCACATCAAACTTGAAGCAGTCTACATTCAGAAACCTTGGTGTTTTAAATAGTCCAAGATATCAGAACCTCTTCAATCACAACTGACAGCTGTGCAAGAGGACATCTTTGATCCTTCAAGCCAGGCTTCAGTGTCCCTTGATGCCCCCTTTTTAATCTGAGCGTTGCGCTGTCACTTTTCTGTTCTCCAAATACAATTACTGTTACAGATCATAAATGCGTTTTTGTGTGCAGATGAGTGAAACAGAAAAAGATGTAAAAGTGGCCTTATGGTACAAAGAATTATTTACATTACTTGTATCAAAATCAGTATGTTCCTTCCCAGCCTTGGAAGTCAGTCTTTCAGTTGAGTCATGTGAAAACAGTGAAAGTTTGTGGCAGGCATCACTGGTATTTTTATTACCATTTTGTATAACAAGGTTTAAGCAAAACAACTGTAAACACTTAAATTCTGTTTATAGTACAGGCTTTGTGGACACTTCCAGATTCTCTTCATAGCTTTGGTTTCTGAATCCCAAGTTTTATTGTGTGTGTTTAAATACAGAGCAACTGAAACCTTGTTGTAAAGACAGGAATGAAGCCAAATGGACATTCCATCTTCAGTAGTTTGCTTAAGATGGCTTGAATGACATCTCTCTATCTTGGTGTATATTGTTAGTGAAGACTTATCTGTTTCTGAGCAGAATTTGCTACACTTGTTCTTTTTATTATTTGCAAGGAATAGAGAAAGAAAAAAATACCAACACACTTGTGAAGTTGGCTGCTAGTGATCAGTTTATTTTTGGAAGACTGCCTCTGCTGTTCTGCTTCATTGCCTTAAATTATCCCTGTTCGACAAGGTTGAACTACTAAGAAAGAAAAATCACTTTGAACCTGAAACTTGCATAGTTAAGACTATGAACACATGGGACAGACCTTTCTAATACAGATTTTACACTGTCCACACCAGGTGAAGTCTTTGATATGGGGGAGGAGGGTTGAGTGTGTGTCTTAATTCTATTATTGATAGGCCAGAAAATAAAGATGTGAGACTGAATGCCTATCTGGTGCTCTACTGGTATCACACACCATCCCTTTTGCTGACTTCCTGTTTGTGAGCACAGCTGAAAATTGCATGTGCTGTCAATTTAAAGTTGGAGTTGTACAGCACTTTGTCTGTTTTAGTCTCTGGAGTTCATCTCTGTTTTTTTGTAAATGTAGGCACTTTCCTAAATGTTAGTCAAAATTTTATTTGTTAAGGGTTGTAATCTGCCCTGCTCATTTAACAAATCAGCTTGAATTTACAAACTGAAAAAAAAAGATTTTTTTAAATTAAAAATATAAGTAGCATTTGTGGCTCTGAGATGGTGTATTCCTGGTTTCCTTCAATTTTTAACCAAAAGGCATTCATTCATTAGCACACCAAAATACCCTCTGAGCAAGAAGTACTTGACTACTTCAGCCTGATTTCAACTCTGTACAAAATTTTACGTTTGGAATTCTTGTAACCAGTTTTTGATATCCACAGAGTTTTTGTAATACTTTCCAGGCAGTGATGCAGGATGTATCCAATGTCAAGCATCTTCTTGTAGATCCTTGCAATTGTGAAATGGGCATTCATGCTATATTTTCTACCATCATGTTTGGCTTTAGGTTCTCAGTAAGGAACAATCACCTTCGTATTAAATTTACGTCACTTCTCTTTTGTTTTATTGTGTTTAAGAATATGGTGTTCCTGGGGCAAGACTGTCAGAAGCACTTAACTGTGATGTTGCCATTCATACATCTTTTAGCTTTGTTGGGACATAGATGTGAAAAGATGGAGATCCTGACAAAAGTTGAAGGAACCTACACCTTCATAATTGAAACTACTGAGTAGATAGCCAGATTTTGATTTTTGGTTTCTCATGAATAACACCAAAAAATGTACTTGCAGCTCAGAAAAAAAAAAAAAAAAAAGAGAAAAAGCAGAAAACAGCTTTCTTCACAAACTAGATTATAAAAACTGGTTTCTTTAAATCTAATGAACAAGACTGTAGGCTACTAAAAGTGGAAGTGACCTTTTTCTCAAACAGGTGGAGCTTTAAAGCTTATCAGACTCATTTTGGCTCAAAAGATTCTATTTACTTCAGGATTTAATCCTGATTTTTTTTTGGGGGGGGGGGTAAGCAACAACAGAACATAAAGCTGCTACTTTCTTCTTTCCTGCTCTTGTGTTTCAAACTTCTGCTGTTAGACTAGGAAGACTTTTTTTCATCTCTTGAGATACCTGTAGTTTCTTGAATACAGTACCAAAAAACCGCCTGGAGAGTTCATCTACAGCTCTGCTGAATATATTCATCTAAGCACACTTTGCCAAACCATACACTATTACAAAGTAGGTAAGTCAGCAGGTAGCAGGACCTGATCTTTACAGCAACACATACAGGTTAAGAATCTTCTTTAGAGTAGTCCTACAAACTTTAGATCAGATTTCTTCTATGGAATTAAACCAAATAGTTCTGTACATAATCTTTCAGTATTAACGAAGTCACGCTTTTCATAATGCGCTTGCAAGTCTTCTTGGATTTCCTTCTGCTAAACATTAAGGTACTTAAAAAAAAAAAAAAAAAAAGCAAATGGATAATGCAAGAGCTCTTTCTACATCATTTGCAAGCAAATCTTTAGTAATCACACTATATTCAGTTTTATAAGAAATTATTTGAAAAGTAAATACTACCAATTCTGTTTCCTATAACAGATATGTTGAGGTGTTTAATCTATTTAACTTTGAAATTTCATTCTACTCCAAAATAATTCTACTGAGAAATTGTACCTTTCGGAGCAATTAGGCACTAGTGATACCTAATAACATTTTCAAAATTTTAACAAAATTGCCAGAACTAGGCTTTTATTTGAGACCAAATGATCTTAATGCTTAGAAAATGCAACCTGTAGATAAACTTACTTTTCATTTAAAAAATAATGAAACAGTTGAAGTGACTGCGAGGTGAAAAGTGTGCTTTAAATGATACTATTTTTTATCTGAAATATTCTTTAAATAAATACTAGCTCTGAATAAAGTAGCTGAGCAACACAGCAGTGGCATGTACCTTATTTCAAGCAAACAAACTAATCGCTGCCAGCTGGCCAGATGTAGCTAATTCCTGGCTCCAAATTTAACAGTAAAGAGAATAAAAGGCAAATTTCTGCATATAATTTACTAATAATAGTCTCTAAGTAACATGGTGTAAAATATCAACTAACTTATAGTAGCCTTTTCTTTCTGGGCCAATTTTATTTGTCAAAATAATTAAACATCTGTTACTGCTATGGAGCATTGTATCAGTTGATACATTTCTTCTATGAGGATGATAATCGCATTTGAAACAATATGAATATGGTACGTTCTTGCAAGAAAATTTTCAAGTTTTCTGAAACATAAATTTACTGGTTTTGAGATTAATACTTCGAGAGATTCTGTTGTTAGGGTTTGGGGGCAGATTACAAACACCTTATGAGGTTATGATACTCTCTTGGACTTGCAAAAAAACAAACAAACAAAAAAAAAAAACAGTTTCTCAGGAAGATCATACCATGTCGTAAGGCTGGAGATGGATGTAAAGCTACAAAGAAAATCATGTTTCAGGTAAGAACAATTTGTTGACATGTACAAATAAAACCAAATATGGTATATACTGCTTAAATTGTTGCTTTCTATTTATTTTTACTAGTTAGACATTAACCTATATTTTACTTTGTTTTCAGGTTTATGGTAGGCTGTGGTAGGTGTGATGACTGGTTTCATGGTGATTGTGTTGGACTGAGTCTATCTCAAGCACAGCAGATGGGTGAAGAAGATAAAGAATATGTTTGTGTGAAATGCTGTGCTGAAGAAGACAAAAAGGCAGAGTGTTTTGATCAAAGTCTACTGGATACTCAAGTTAAACTTGAAAGCCACAGAGAAGAAAAAGCAATTGAATGTGAAAAACCGGGGATGTCAAAGCAAGCACCTCCCTGTAATCTAAATCTAACAACTGAAAAAACAAAGCAGGCAGAAGATGCAGGGAAGCATAAAGTCAAAATTTTCAGAAGGGTAAGTTTCATTTAATTCCTTTTAGTTATTGGAGATACTGGCAGGGGGGTTGGACCCGATGATATTTCGAGGTCCCTTCCAACCCCTTCAATTCTGTGATTCTGTGAGATACAGGAGGTTTCCTTTTAAATCCCTGTCATCCAAAATACTGTGTTTCAAACATTTTTGAATCTAGTATAAAATTTGTTATTTTCAGAGTAACGTTATTTTCAGACAGGTTTGGCTATTTTGAGGTACTGCTGGTACATTCTGTCTTATATTGAGCAGCAGTCATGTCATACATTGTAGGTTCACCTATATACATATTTGTCTGTTTAAAAATAAGCAAAATACATGATTAGAAACAGCTCAACCCTTCTCACTAGGGAAGGAACACATGAAAAATGTAATAGAATAAGTGTTTACTACACTATAGACTTTCACAGGTCTAGGAGCAAAGGATAGCCAGAAGTTTTTGAATATTCTATTAATTTTTTTTTTCTGTCCCTTCAACCCCTGGTAATGGTCACGTTATAAACAATGTGTATGAGGTTCAATGGAAGATTGGAATGCCGTATTTTACATAAGTGATATTTTGAACAAGTTAGCAAATTTTGCCTTCAAAATTCTAATCATTTTTATATGGCATCTGTCAATTTGCTATATTACATAAAGCATAAATCTTAAATTTCTATATGACAACAGCATTTTAGAAGAAAATACATAACACTTTAATTAGGGCCTTTCTACTTTCTTTTACTAACCAAAGGGTAATTTGCAAGAGTAGTATGGTGACTTGCTTTTGTTAAACTTCCTTAGTCTTTTGACATATGGTATTATATTCACCATAACTTTATAATTACTGATCCTTTCTGTCTTCTTTCTGCATGGTATTATTGTAATTCTGATTCATAAACTCTTCTGTCTAATTTTGATCAAATTTTTATATTATCATATGTGACTTCCTGTGGATACATGCCTAAAACAGGTTAAGAGAAGTTCATGTCCCTGATTTTTTAAAACAGCTGAAAACACAGTGTTTTTCAACAGGGAGCTTAACTGCAAGATACCTGTGATGTGTCTTGGGCCAGTTTTTCAAAGAGATTGTTAATCATGTTTGGTAGCAATTTGGGATATTGTTCAGTGACTTCTTAGAAGAAATTACATAATGGTGCATATACATCTCAGGGGTTTATTATACCATATACTTAAAAACTCGCGAAAATGCATGGTAATTATGTAGTGGTTCATTATAGCATTCAGTAGCATGCTAGTGTATATAAATGTTTATTTCAGGAATCTGGTGATGGGAAGAATTTGTCAGAATCCAGAGACTCAGATACTAAAAAAGGCCAACATGTTCCTACTCGAAAAGCAACACAAACTGCTGTAATTCCTCGGCGATCTTCAGATGAGAAAAGTGAAAAAAATAGTAAAGAGTCCCTTAGCATGGTTGAAAAGTCCACCAAGTCAGGTAAGGAAGTTTGGAAAAGTACTCCATGCTGTAAATGACATGTGTACAGTGAAGAATGATGACTTCATAGTATCAATTTTCAAGCATTTCATGGTGCAAGTGATGGTGATCTGGAGAGCTGTTTGTTCCCATGATGTTTATGGCCTTCATTTCTCATTTCTTTTTAAACCTTTTTTTAGCAGGTAAATGTTTCCTATTTGAATAGTGGAGGGTGATCACGTTATCAAGAGTGGAAGAAAAAGCGCATCTGTATTAAGCTTAATTTCACGTTATAGAAAACTTTGTAGCATTCTTCCATAAAATAGTAGGAGCACTTAATGGGCATAAAAGCGTTGATATTGATATATAAGTAGTACCATAAGTAGTACCTTGAAACACTCATTTCTTTTGCACAAATTGATAAATAATTGCATCAGAATTCATATCAAAGGGGAACATTATATTGCACACTGAGCCATCAGATTTTCATTTGTAACTCTATTTGAAAGGTAGACAGGACCTATTTTCGCTCACAGCAAACAATCCCCCAGCTCCCTTCCAGAAAGCATTACTCTTCCAAGTTCATGATAATGTGAAATTCTTGTGATTTGGATCTGAAATCTCAGCAGCAATGCTAGAGAGATTCTGTCTGAGAACTGTGTCTTTAAATCCTAAACTCAAGTTTTGAATTCATGTCTTAAAAAAATCCACTTTTCTAGTCTTTTGCTAATGTTGACATCCTAAAAAAACTGTGGAAGAAAACAGTGGAAAATGTTGGGGTTAAATGTAATGGCATCTTTTAAACTTCAAACACTTGGCTGTTCAGAATTCTGAGTCACAAAATAGCTGACATCCTTTCTAACTGCAGATTGCAGGAGTTTAAATGAGTCTGGTATCCATGATATCATTGAATTATTCTAAAATATGTTAATTAAATTAGGAGGTGGCAAAATGCTGTCACGATGAATTCAGAATAGTAGTTAATCTAAAGATCAGTTTTAAACATAGAATCACAGAATGGCTTGGGCTGGAAGGGACCTTAAAGACAATCTGATTCTACCTCCCCCACCATGGGCAGGGACACCTCCCACCAGCCCAGGTTGCCCAAAGCCCCATCCAGCCTGGCCTTGAGCCAGGGGCATCCAGGGATGGGGCATCCACAGCTTCTCTGGGCAGCCTGTGCCAGTGCCTCACCACCCTCGTAGGAAAAAAGTCTTCCTAATATCTAATCTAAACCCACTCTTTTCTAGTTTAAAGCCATTCCCCCTTGTCCTATTTTTGCACTCCCTGAGTCCCTCCAAAGAGTCCCTCCCCAGCTTTCCTGGGGCCCCCTTTAGCTACTGGAAGGCCTCTCTAAAGTCTCCCCAGACCTTTTGTTCTCCAAGCTGAATGAGCCCAACTCCCTCAGCCCTTCTTCGTAGGGGAGGTATTACAACCCTCTGATAATCTTTGTGGCCCTCCTCTAGCCTTGTTCTAATACTTCCAAAAACAAAAGCTCGTGATATCCAGCAATGGTAATTGTTTATTTAATTGGCTGTGTCACTTACAGTTTTTAACTCTGTATTTTGATAGGTGTTCATGAGAAACAAGAAATTAAGAAAAAGAAAAATGAGAAAGGATCAATCAGTGCAACACATCTACCAGCTGTGCCAGCTTCCAAACCTTCTGCTGATCAGATAAGACAAAGTGTTAAGCAATCTCTTAAGGAAATTTTGATGAAAAGGTATAAATATATGTATTAAATTATTAATTTTGTTTACAATTCCTTCAGAAGACAAGATAAGAAATTAATTATTTGGAAGTATTTGGTAATTTTTGTACTTGTGTTTTCTCACAGATTGACAGACTCCAGTTTAAAGATTCCTGAAGAGAGAGCAGCAAAAGTTGCCACAAGAATCGAAAGAGAACTGTTTTCTTTTTTTCGGGACACTGACTCAAAATATAAGAACAAATACAGAAGTTTAATGTTCAACCTAAAAGATCCAAAAAATAATGTATGTATTACTTGTTTACTATGGTTTGCAGAAATCCTTTATTTGCTGTAGGTTAAAGAAAAAGTTTTCTGTGTGGGTACATTATTAGTTCTTTCACAATTAATCCTGTTCATTACTTTTTTGTATGTTTTTTATCTTTATTGTCTTCTGGCATATTCAGTGCTCTGTTTTTTTCTCCATCATTAATTCTTCATCTCTTTCCTCCCTGTGCACTTAGTAGTGGGATTTCAAAGTGTAGTGAATATATTGTTTTGTCAATATTTTTGTAATTACTACTGATGTGTATTTTTCCCCATACTTTTCTTTTTTTGTTTGTGTCCTGTAGCTTGTCTCACTGTTGTTTTCATACCCAAATTTCTCACTTAGTCTTCACTCATGTTTTCTGCATTCTTTGAGCTCATTATTATTGACTCTTCAACTTCTGTCTTTTTGACTTATCAATTGCTCTGATTGTTTCTTCTTTGTTCTGATCAAGTTGCCTTGTCTAGTTTCTCCCTATAGTAATCTCTCTATATTGATGATAACCAACTGTAAATTGTATAAGCAGACTAAATATTTTTTTTTACTAACTTGCCTTGTTTGTGCATACCCCCAAATTATATGGCATCGCCCCCACAAGGATTCATTTACGTCAGTCAAGAAGTATAGACATCCTCTTTAATATTACAAAAAGTCTCAATTACTGCTGCAGTGGGCATAAATTTGCTTTCTCTTTTTTGGAACAATGGTTAACTGTGCAGCTGGTCATTAAGAATATATATAGATGTAGAACAAACAGGGAGCTCTGAAATTAAGGTTTGTATCGTAAAAAATCTAAATCTAGTAGTGCTTCTGATAGTGAGAAATAATTACAAACAATATATATAGCTGTATAGAGTGTATTGTATGTTGCTTCTCTACTATGTTTCCTATTAGGAGCTGTTTTGTCTCAGCAATAGTTAATTATTTTTTTCTTCTAGATACTGTTTAAAAAAGTACTGAAAGGAGAGGTTACTCCAGACCATCTAATAAAAATGAGCCCAGAAGAACTGGCTTCCAAAGAACTGGCTGCTTGGAGACTAAGAGAAAACAGACACGTGAGATTTGTCAATTTATGTTGTTTAGTTGGATGCCTAAACATATTTAAATTCTGTTTTCAGGTTAAGTGTATTCAGGAAGAACAAAATGCATGTTACGCAAAGCAACTCTAACTAATCAGGAGGACCTCTATAATTTGAATACGTAGTATTCAAAACCCAAAAGAAATATTAGGACAGAAGTGAAAGAAGTAGTCAATTCACTGGAGGGGGAAACAATGCATTTTCCTATGCCATGCAGCTTTCTTGCTGCTCTTCTTTTCCATTTTTTCTGTCTCATGAGTCCAGGCTTTTGTGTCTATCCTTATTTCCAATAAGATTTTAAAGCTCCAACTGGGGTTTTATAGAAACCAGGATTTTTTTTAAGAGGTAGAGAAATCTCTTGAGTGAAACCTAATGGGCCTTTATAATTCACATATTGATGGTGCATGACATTTCATCCACCAAGAAGTAAATCTGAAGCTGGAAATTTGATCTGCCAGTCTGAAAAGTCATCTGAAGGAAATAAATAATAACGTAAGGTATAGGAAGTTTATTAGGTTACATTGGATATTACTTTTCTCAGAACAGGAAGTCATGATATATTGTAGCTGTGCTGATAGTTTAAAAGGTGAAGCAGGAATATAAAGAGCTGTGTTATTTTTATAGAAGATGCCTTTTTCTTAAATAGTACTCTTTTTAATGGTCAGTTAAACTGATGATGGTTAGCCAGTGATAGTTAACTGTGGCTACTTAAAAATGCTTGTTTTACAGCATCAAGTTTTCTAGTTTACAAAATCTTGATTTGCGTTGACAGGATCTTTGATATTTATAAGCTACTGCATAGGACTGAAAGGCACAAAATTTGGATCATGTTAATTGGGATACATTTTGTGTTTGGCTATAAATGAATAGGTACTTGTCTGTACAATAGGTGGAAATCCATGACCTTGAATTCTGTGTGGTAAGAGTGAAAGAATGTTTAGTGATACCTACTTCAGTACAGTGAAATGCTATTTTAGAGACTGATCTGCCTTGTGACATTATTTATTCATATTTTTCCTTTCTCAAAGCCCATATTTTCTATCTAATGCTCATCTTTTACATTACATGCTTGTTACATGTGTTTTATTTTTATAAACAACAGTAAAATACTGAAAATAGATGATACAACACAATACTGTACTGCTATGAGGGACAACTTCAAAACAAAAATATATTCTGCTTAAAATTACTGAAGGGTTCTAAATATTTCTAGAAGTTTTCAAATATTACACAGAAACATAATGCAACGTGTAAAATAAATAACAATGATTGTTTCATCTGATTGTATTTTTCATTTTCCCGTTTAAGGAAGACTTTAAGATTGTCGCTTACAGTGCTTTTTTTTCAAAATTTTCTAGTGTCTTCAAAAGTAACTAAGTACTTGTCAGACAGCTAAAGTAATCATAGAATCTTTGTTCCTTAATCAAATCAGGCTTAAACTGTTGGGGACAGCCAACACAAACTGTTCCTGATTTAAGTAGTAAAGATGTTTTAAGAGATTGATTTAAGAAGCAGTTTTAGAAATAGTGGTGTATGTTTTCTTCTTTGTGATGGAGCAAAGTAGCAGTCCTGATCAGAATTGGCATATGCATTAAGAGTACGTTTAAATGTTTTTATTGAGGTAGAATGTTTATGTACTCAAAATCAAGCTCTTGGAAAATTATGTAAATCTATATGTATTTGTGCCCTACATTTTCTTTATTATTATGGGGAAAGAGTTAATGCATTTTTCTTTAGACCTCTTACTTGTGGTTTTGCTTTATGAAACTGACTGACACTTGCAAAATAAGAATATATTGTATACCCATAGAGTTTTCTGATTGCTGTTGTTACATTTACTAATTTCCAAGTTGTTTTTATATGAACGTACACACATAGATAGCCTCCTGTTTTTACAGACAATCGAAATGATTGAGAAGGAACAGAGGGAAGTTGAAAGAAGACCTATTACTAAAATCACTCACAAAGGAGAAATAGAAATTGAAAGTGAAACACCAATGAAAGAACAAGAAGTTATGGAAATTCAGGTAGAAAACAAAACTATTAACAGAACAATTTACAACCATTTTATCCATGAACCAAATATGCTGTGTATCAAGATCTATGACTACATTAGGTCTGTTTTGAGTTTAATTTTTCTTTTATCCCTACTGACTGGTGTTTTTTTTCCCATGTTGTGTCCATGATCAGATGATGAATTCAAAAAACAGTAGAAAATACTCTGAATCTTTTGTGAAGAAATATATATATATAGGAATAACTATGCAAAATTTTTATGCATTTCTAGATTTTGTGATAGTCTCTTGGGTTACAGAGACTTGATAACTTTTAGGTTATAGACCTGAAGAGAAAATTTTGTCTGAAGGGAAGAAAACACCGTAAATAAAGTGAAGATATAATAGAAGAAATAAACAGAAATATTAGGAAAATGAACAGAAGAAAAAAGCTAACTGAAATGTTTTGACTTTCCTTAGGAACCTAATATGACAAAGATGTTTGAGAAGTCAGAGGAAGTTGACAAAGATAAAGAAGGAAATGAATCTGCAACTCCAGACACCACAAGTCAACACAAAAATCATCTCTTCGATCTTAACTGCAAAATCTGCATAGGTAATTTTGAGAAGCACATTTATTTAAATGCATCATGCACCAAGGCAAAGAGGAAAATCCTTGTTATGAGTGTATGTGCTGTCATTGATTTGCAGTAGAAATAATAGCATGGTTCGGATTGGAATGAACCTTAAAGATCATCTACTTCCAACCCCTCTGCCGTGGGCAGGGACACCTTGTATTAGATCAGGTTGCCCAGGACCTCATCCATCCTGGTCTTGAACATCTCCAGGGATGGGGCATATTGGAGCAAATAATACATTTATCATATCACACTGCAATGGCTATATTGTATTTTTGGTTCATCTTCCTTGTCTACAGAGGAAGTCCACTTTGTTTATTTAATAAAACAAACAAAATTTTACTTCGTTCTCTGCAGGTCGAATGGCACCACCTACTGATGATATTTCTGCAAAAAAAGTGAAGGTGTCTGTTGGAGTTGCACGGAAACAATCAGACAATGAAGCAGAGAGCATTGCAGAATCACTTTCTTCAACATCATGTATTTTAGCTTCAGAATTATTGGAAGATGATAAACAAGACTTATCCAAATCATTCTCACCTCTCCCAAAGTAATATAAACTGAAAAAAACAGTGTTTTTAATGAAACACATTATTTATATCGTTAACATATTATGACTAACATTATTTTTTGATGGCATTTCATAGCCTGTTTGTATAGTGGAAGTAGTACACCTTTTCTTAGGATTGGGGTTATTTGCTGGAGTACATAATGCTATTCATTTATATAAATAATGCTACATATATTGTGATTACAGACTTCTAATGTTTCCTTCTGGGAAAAATAAACCTCCTTATGTTTTCTGGTACAAAGATACCTAAAAATATATGTGGGTTTCTATTAAAAAGGTCAGAATATAGATTTCATACTGTATTGTGCTATTAAGGGACATAATATTTACAGTGCTGCAATCAAAGTGTGTGTGTGTGTGTGTTTGTGTATATATAATGTTAGGGACTTTGAGGATGCTCTAGATAGACCAATGAAAATGATAAACCAGCTTAGTTACAAACCTCCAAAAAATAACTAGCGCTTAAAAATCTTGCCCAAATGAACTGTACAAGTATTCAGTACAGTGGATCTGTTGCCTTACAGTTAGCACTAATGTCCATGGTCTTTGTTAGGGTTGTTAAGACCAGAGATCTCAGTGTGAGAAGCTGAAACTGAAGTTATGCCATCCTTCTCACCTGTTTTCTCATCAGTGGTGTTCCGTGCTGTCTGTACTCTCTCCAAAACGAAAGGGGAAAGATGGAGAAATCTCATTTGTTCCCAACACTGTGTTTTGTTTGTTTGTTTTTTTTACAGTCTTGGTGTTTCCAGGCATCTTCCTTGCTTGTTGTGCCAGATTGTTTTTGTTCTGTCATCATCACATCTCTCTCTCCTGCCTGCCCTACATCTCTTGTTGTTACCTTGCAGATTTTGTTACTGTTTACAAATGCTTCTTGTGCCCCGTCTGGAAGCAAAGCAACAACTCTTAATTTGCCCCTTTGCAGTTACTGATTATTTTATGCTTTGCTATGTTACAGAATGCTTTTGTGTTGTGGCTGCTTATGTTGTTAGCAATGTTATGTTTCTTAAAAAAAAAAAAAAAAAAAAAAAAAGTATATACTGTTTCCTGTTACACAGTTCCAATGTGGTTTGTTATTTTTTTTCATTTGTGGTAAGGTAAGGAAATACTATTTATATCGTGCTTACTATGCGTTTTCATTATGGTATGCACCAGGCTACAGTCAGGTCTGGTATGAGTAATACTTAGAGAACAGTCATTATAATGTTGAGTTAATGTAGGAAGGATTTTCATCTGAAAGAAGAATAGTTTTATCTTTCAATATTTCTAGCCATGTCAGATTGTGTATTTTGGGATGCTGATAACTCTTTCACATTTAGAAGAAAACCACAGAGCAAATGGCAAAAAGCAGCAGCAATAATTTCTAAACCTGTTGTCTTACTCGCTTTAAGATGAAAATGTGGTAGCTATTCTTGAACACACGGGTTTTGTAGACCCCTTCTGTTGGAGAATTTTTTCTCTTTAGTCCTTGCCCTCCCCTTCTTTCCTTGGCTTGTAATTTAGCCAGTCTGTCAGTATAGGTTTTGCTGTTTGCCGTCGGCTCTCTTCATTTTCTTCCCCCCTCTCTCTCTTCTCTCTGCTAAAGGCAAATTGCAATTTATGAGGCTATATTTTCTGGTTTACGAGAGGTGTTTCTAAAAAATCATTGACTCTCAGTTATTTAGAAATGACCAGTGTCCATAATGAAATTCAGCCTTTATCAGAGCAGTGCAATCCTTCACCAAGGACAGTGGACTTTGAATCTTCAGCAAACTATTCTAAAAACAAAGAAGTAATTTCTAGGGTAGACAGAAAGAAACACCGGTTATTGTGTTACTATTGCAGCACTTGTTACTAGTAGCATGCCTAGAGTGTTTTAATAAGTACGAGTTTGGAAAAAAATTAAATATGTCTGTAATTTAAAAAATTAGCTGTAATGTCTTTGCTGAGGAAACCCCCAGGTTGAAAAACACTCTCCTGTGAAATTATTCAAGTCTTTCAGTTTATTTCTTGCAACTGTTTTCTTTTAAAGTGTGTATGAGGAAACATTGCCTTGTGCAGGTGATGATATTGGAATTCAGAAGAGGTACTCACAGAGCTTGTGGATGTGATGCATGAGTGAGAGCAGCTAGCCTGTGGGCCAGTGACAAGCAAGGGGAAAGCAGATACTCAAGTGGTGGGTAGACAGTGTTGCAAGCAGAAGTAGGAGCTTGGAAAGCAAGGTGAAGATAAGCCAGCAGTTCAGTGTCATCTCCTCCCCTGGTTCAGGGGAAGACCTTAACTTCTGTGTGTTCAAATGATAGAGTAGTGAACTAACATGCTGCTTATCTGATGGTCCTTCATGTAACACATCTGCTCCTGTAGAAGGAAAGAAATAAGATTGTCTGCCTATCTCTTTTCCTAGACCCTCAAATATGCTTAACTGAAAAATAAAATTCTTAATGATAGGTAACCTGTTTTACAAAGAAAGGTGATTATTTACATGATCTGACATGTCACGTTCTAAACAAAGTGTTGTCTGTCTTTTTTCAGATCAGAAACACCTGGTACTGTAGAGTGTGAAAGTCTGTTTCTGGCACGCCTGAATTTCATCTGGAAGGGTTTCATCAACATGCCTTCTGTGGCAAAGTTTGTTATTAAGGCTTATCCAGTGTCTGGCTCTTTTGAGTATTTGACAGAGGTATTTACATTTCTTGCAAAGAACGAACGATTAATTTATTAACTTTAGTGACTTGTTTACCATAGACTAATAATAGTATAATGATGAAAGGCAGTGAAGCATGATCGCTATACTGAGTTGAAGTACTTGTGGGAGGAAATAGGATAGGTAAGGTTTATATGTATTTACAAGTAACATATTTCTCCCTACGTGGACCCACGGTTCATCAGGACTCAAATTCTCTGAATGACATGTTTAAGATGTTTTGTTCTCATGTTTCTTGAGGATGAATAGCAGAATTTCCAGAGCTGGCTTCATAAGGGTTGAATCGTTTCTAGTTTATTATGGAGCATCTTCTATATTACAAATTAACAGGGAAAGGCAGGACAAAATTTGCTACTGAAATAATCATCTCAGTGGCATCTGTTTTCTGAATTAGAGGTGGAAAAGTGAATGATCAGTTTTTAATTCAAAGCAATAAACAAGTGAGACACCTCTTTTCCAAAAACGGATACTGTTGGTGTTTTTTTTAACATTACATGAAGTCTCATTTTCTGCAGTAAAAACCTGCATAACAGGAATTGTATTTTTGCCAATCTGGTGGCAGTTGTATTTGTAATCTTCACTGTAAGACTAAATTGTCCTTTATATATATTTATATATAAGTATAAATAAATATATAATAATTATTATTATCATCATATACTGTAATTATATATATAATTACATTAATAATAATTATACTATAATAGTTATATATATATATAGTATTCAGTATCTGAGGCAGGAAATGGATGCAACTGCTTATAACAGTTGTCTTTGCAGCATAAAATAAAGATCAAAATCTCACATAAGGCTAAGTGTTACTTCTCACCAGTGACACAGGAAGCATCAGCTGTCTAATTAAATGGCGTTAAGTCTTTTATTAATGTGCTTATCTTTACTTGGCTGTAAATCTTTAGTGTAGTGCAGGGCATGCAGTACTCTTTAGCCCATGTACTTTGCATAGCTCTTCTGCTCTACTTCAAAATGACTTTTTCCTAAGTTGTTCTGAAATTACTCTGGAAGTCTGTTTATGTCACTGGTGAATAGTGAACTCAGTAGTATCTGAGAACAAATTTTTGTGTATATGCATCTATAAGTAGATTGCATTTTTTTCTCATGATTAAGATTTTGAAAGCTTGTATTCTTTGATAGGTGTAGGGCTTGCATAACAGTTTAATTTTAAAGATAGCTTGTGTTTACAGTTAGTGTTACTGAAATAAATGATTTTGGAAGATGTAGATGAACAGCATTGAGTGATAACTAATTTATTACTAATAATTGATTTTGCACTGAAAATCTTAATACAAATATACAAAATCTAAATGTAAATTACTTTTTTCTACTGTTGTTAACTTCTACTGACTTTTAAAATTAGAATTTAAGAACTATAAAAATTATGTTTTGAATATATGAAACAAATATGTTGGATTCTGATTTCTGTTGTCCTTACTCATAGGATTTACCTGATAGTATTCAAGTAGGTGGCAGGATATCTCCTCACACTGTCTGGGAGTATGTAGAAAAAATCAAAGCTTCAGGGACCAAGGTAAGAAATCTTACGTATTGAAGGCTTGCTTCTTAACTTACATCCTGTTTACCCTGGACATCTTTTTCTCCTGGGACATTTGCAAAATACATAACAGTTTACGGATAACTCGTAGTTACATTAAATGGGATGGGCGGCAGCTGTTGGCATTTGTTTTCTATCTGTCTAACCTCAATTGGTCAGGTGTTGTTCAAAAACACTTACATTCTGTTGCAACATACACAACTTCATATGTCTCAAGTGTTACTTTCTAGTTTCTGTACTGTTACAATATGTAAAACCACCTTAGTGGCTCAAGATGGACTTGTACCACTGCGTGCAGGTTGTCCTTCTGCTGGAGAGCCCCAAACTAGACTCAGTACTCCAGCTGCTATCTCACAAGTGCTGGATAGAAAGGAACAATTGTTTCCCTTGACCTGCTGGCTGCTGTGTTTCTGACACCCAGTATACAGTTGGCTTTCCGTGCAACATGGGTGGTGTTGCTGGTTCATATTCAGCTTGCCCACCAGGATCCACACATCCTTTTATACCATGCTGCTTCCTAGCCTGTCCTGGTTCCTGGGGATACTCCATCTAAGATTGCAAGATTTTGCATTTGCCTTGGCTGATGTTCATGAGGTTCTGGTCAACCTGCTAAGGTCCCTCTGAAGAGCAGCCTGCCTTTTGGCACATCAGCCACTGTCCCTAATCAGGTATCATCTTGGTTTTGCAAAAAATCTCCTTTTCCATCTTCCTGGTCATTAAGTCATTAAACAGCATCAGCCCCAGCATCAACTGCTGAGCTGGGTTTTAGATGGAAGTGTGGGATTAGGATGCTGGTCTTGCTTTAATATTAATTAATTGCTTAGCCATGAAAGACAATACAAGGCAAATCTTTCTAGTAATGTTAAGCATTAGGGAGGGGAATAATTTAGGGAAGCATGCCAGCTTCCACTTAAGCTTGTTATTTTGCAGGCTGATAAAAGTTAGCTTGTCATAGAGTAATTTATTTATTTAAATTCTAAATGCTTTTTGTTTGCTTTTTCCATTTGCTTTAATTACTTTTGACCTTGTCTCTATTCCTTCTACCTCCTCTGTTCTCTGCATTTCTGGGGAGACACTTTCTTTTCTTCTTTGAACTATGCCTTTAAATGAAGAATAGCCATTGAACAATTGAAATTACATTTTATATATATGTATCTTTTTTTTCTCTTTTTCTAAACAGGAAATCTGTGTAGTTCGCTTTACCCCTGTAACTGAAGAGGATCAGATATCCTATGCTTTGTTGTTTGCATATTTCAGCAGCAGAAAACGTTATGGTGTAGCTGCCAATAACATGAAGCAAGTGAAAGATTTGTATCTCATCCCATTAGGTTCCTCAGATAAAGTCCCACATCATCTTGTGCCTTTTGATGGGCCCGGTAAGTACAGCATGGAATTTGGAAGTTTGTTACTGTTTTTCATTTATATAAGCTTGTAACAGAAAAGAAAAAATAATTTTAAAAGATGGTTAATGAATTTTTGAAAAATAACAGTTATTCTGTTGAAACATCTCATGATTTTTCCAGCGTCATATTTGCTTCCTTGAGAAGACATTAATTTCCAATTTTAAGACTATTCTGATAATTAAATGTACTGTTGCTGAAAAAAAAAACTGAATAATTTTGTTTCATGTTTTATTGCATAATTCCTCTAACCCAGATTTCTTTGTGGTTGCTATCTCAGAAAATTCAGTGACACAGGTAACCTTTGACAGTAATCCTACTGAGCGCCAGGTTGATACTGTAACGTAAAAACAGTATTTTTCATTATTTGAAATATACTTGCTCCTTTTTTTTTTTTCCTTTCACTTGAAATGTTCCAAACATTTTAAAAAGGGAAGGAAAAAAACAAAATAAAACAGACACGTAAAGTTTAAAACCAGCAAGAAATAAAAAGATCCTGAAATGTTTGTCATTTGTTGCTTAAACCTGAGTTCTTGAGTTCTTTTGTGCCAATTTTTTTTGGTTATTAAAAAATTGCAGATGATTTCATTTTAGATGGGTGGGGATGAAACTTAAGAGGGGATAAGCTACAAGTCATAATTTTCTTTGCAACAACCTAAATTAGAACAAAATGCATATGGAAGAGAGAATAGTAGACCTTGAAACATGGTGCCCTTCTGGAATAAGGGAAGCATTTTGGAAAGTCAGGCTTGGTCAAACCTTTGAGGAAATGCATCCAACATAAATTGATTACCAGACTTTGTAGTTGCAAGTGGTATATTATTATTATTATTATTTTTTTTTACTCTTGTGCTTTGCTGTCACTGTAGCTCACTTAGATGTTTAACTTTTTTTCTTACGTGACTAGACATCCTTTATAACAGTCTTGTGTTCAGTATTTGGAAGTTATACTGGGTGATAAAGTACTTAAAGCAATTTTAATTTGCTATGGTTGAAGGCATAATTTTCATGTTGGAAATAGTTCTGATTATAAGTATTGTTTGTTCTGCTTAATGATGGAAATCTCAAATGTCAGAAAGTGTATAATTTCCATAATATATAAGTTTGTGGGTTATTTTTGTTAAAAATGATTGCCTTAACCAAAACATAAGTAGATGATAATTTGCTGTTACAATTTTGTGCAGGGATTGAATTGCATCGACCAAATTTATTACTGGGATTGATAATTCGGCAGAAAATGAAGAGACAGATTACTGCTGTTGCAAGTGTTACTAGTAGTTTTGCGGACGAAGCTTCTGAAAGTACCTTGAGTAGCTTGCCGCCAGAGAAGAAAAGCAAGCCAAACAAACCTGAGGTCTCTCATAATGACTTGGTACTAGAAGACGAAGAGGAAAATGATTTTTTTAATTCCTTCACAGCAGTGCTACATAAGCAGAGAAACAAACCTCAACAGTCTAATACAGATGATCTTTCAGCAGTAATTGAACCGTTAGTGGAAAGTACAAAACATGAACCACCAAAGCCTCTCCGATTTCTTCCTGGAGTCCTGGTTGGGTGGGAGAATCAGCCTTCCACGCTGGAGCTAGCAAATAAACCATTGCCAGTGGATGATATTCTTCAAAGCTTGTTGGGTACGACAGGGCAGACATATGAACAAAGTAAGCCAGAGACGAGTCCCAGTGAAGACATACCTTTATTAAATGAACAAACAACTTCAAAAGAAGAAAACATGGATGTTGCTGAAGTAGCTACTGAAGTCAGTGAGACAAAGGCTACTTCGGATGATACACAAGAATCCACTAATGCTACCGCACCTGGGGATGCAGCAGTTGTAGGGACCTCAAGTTCTGCAAGGAGTGCTGGAACTTTGATAGGACTTAGTCTAAAGGGAAAGCCTCCTGATGTCTCCACAGAAGCATTTTTAGCAAATTTATCTGCTCAGTCACAGAATAAAGAAACTGAAGAAAGTAAAGAAAATGATTCAAAGCGGCAATTGCCTGACAAGGATAATACTGCACAGGAAACTAGAAGGACAACAAATTCCAGCTTTTCTTCTTCATCAAGTGCAGGAAAAAAAAACGAGAACAATGGTAATGCAAGCTCTGCTGAAGGTACTACTGCTAATACCTCTAAATCACCACAATTTATTAACCTTAAGAGAGACCCTCGACAGGCAGCTGGACGAAGCCAGCAGACTAGTGCTTCAGAAAACAAGGAAGGGGATGTTAGCAAAAATGAAGACCGACAGAATGTTTCAGGAAACGAACAAATGGAACCAGAGAATAAACAGACTTCTGGAGAAATGGGATTAAACCCGTATCAAAGTGATGCACAAACAAATGAGATGCAGTGCAGTTCAACTGCAACAAAAGCAGATAACGCATGTGCATCACAAGCAGAAGATACCAAACAGTCACAGGAAGATGCACTGATGCAAAACATTGAAACAGTGAACTCTTTTAGAAGAGGACCAGCAGCAACTTCATCTCATTTTGAAACTGAAAATTCTTCTCGTTCTGAGTTTATTTCCAAAGTCCCAAGCCCTGGCAGCTTCTCATCTGTTAGACCTCCGCAACAGAATTTTCAGCATCCTAAGTCTAATCCACCTGGATTTCAGTTTCAGGCTCCTGCACCTCATAACTTCCCTCCACAAAACAACCCTATGTTTGGATTTCCTCCTCATTTACCACCTCCACTTCTTCCCCCTCCAGGCTTTGGCTTTCCTCAAAATCCGATGATGCCATGGCCACCTGTAGCTCATTTATCAGGTCAGCCACCACACTATGCTGGACCCATTGCACAAGGGCTACCAGTGGCTCACAAACAATCCAGATTTTTGGGGCCAGAAAATTTTTTTCAGGGTAAAGACAGTAGGAGACCAGAAAGACGTCATAGCGATCCTTGGGGCAGACAAGAACAGCAATTGGAGAGAGGGTTCAGTAGAGGAAAAAATGATCAACACAGACAAAGATTTTATAGTGACTCTCAGCACCAAAAGAAAGAAAGACAAGAAAAAGAGTGGAACAATGAAAAATACTGGGAGCAAGATTCTGAAAGAAATAGACGCAGAGACAGAAACCAGGAAAAAGAGAGAGAGAGGAAGAGTAGAGAGGAAGGACATAGAGACAAAGAAAAATTGCGGCTTCCACACAGTGATAGGGGTGCTGATGGAAAATGCCCCAGAGAGACTAGAAATCCAGAAAAAAAGACGGAAAAGCCTAAGACGGAAGAGCAGGATCAAGAAAAAGATAAGGAGAGGGAAAAAAGTAAAGAGAAGCATAGAGAACGAGAAAGCGAAAAGAACAGAGATAGACATAGGGACCACAGTGACAGAAGTAAAAGCAAAAGGTAAAAAGATGCAGGCAGTCTTTTAAAATCCTATTTAAATAAACTGTTAGATTAATGTCGTAAAACTTTGTATAAAAAGAAAAAAAGCCTGCTAGGATTGTGCCATCTTTTTTATTCAGTGTTGGTGTTTTGCAGAAACAAGTCTGTGTTTTGGTACCATTCAATGTACCAATACTCATCCTTTTTTCATTATACCAACTATCGCTAGAAGTAGGAGTTTAATATTTTTAAAGATTTTACATTGCTGTATATTCAAAATTTTAAAGATTTCTTTTATTAATATGCAATAAAGGCTTAGAAATTTTCTTAGCTGATAAAGTTGGCTTTAGTCAAGTCTGCAATATAGTCGCTGCCTTTGGTAATTTGTGCTCTCTTCTGTTTTAAGATGCTCTGATAATTTTACAGATGAATTTCATACGATAACCTTCTTTTTAAATTGCACTCTTTTTAAGGATTGTAGCAAAGCCTCAGAGTCCACACATACTACAACAAAATATAATATGCTCGGCGATGTGAAGAGTTTTTTAAATTATTCAGTAGTACAATAAAATAATTCAAGTGTATTTCATTGGTTTTTCAAGTATTTCCTAAGCATCTAAAGCAGTCTGTGACCAGAAATTGGAAGGCTGAGCTGCTCGAATGTTATTGCTTTAAACTGCACTTGTTTTAATAAGAAAGCATTTTTAACCTAAGTTCTTGAAAATATGATTTGTGGTAGTTGATTCATTTCTCCCACCATTTTCCATGCTTCAAAAACTTGAATACCTAAGCTTGTACATTACTTTGTGTTTTGCTATCCTTTTTACTGTAAAATGTAAATATTTTAAGGGATATTTTGATTCTAAAATGATAAAACTTTCTCACATACTGTGTGTGTTTGATTTCATAGGTGTGAAAATGTAGACTGAATATAGCAGGCTAAGTTGTACAATGCCACACTGGTCTTATGGCTAAGTCATTCCGAGTTTTGGGGGGGGTGAAGAAAGGGGAGAAAGGTAGAGGGAAATTTGTACCATTGGGACTTTCAGTAAATTGACTGCTATCCATTTCAAAAACTAAAAGGCAGAAAAAAAAAAAAAAAAAAAAAGAAGAAATAAAAAAAAGACAACCTGAATACAAACTAAAATCTCCTGCTCTTACCCTTCCTTAAATACCCTGGTCATTTTGTCTAGTCTGTTAGAAACAAGAAAAACATTCCATTATGTAAACCAAAAGTTAGGTTTATTGTTCTGTTTCTCAGTGTTCTGTTTTTTATTTTGAGTACATTACCTTATGTATGGACATCGCATTTTGCACTTTGCTGTAGAAAAACCTCTTCTTTTTCAGAAGGTCTTTCCAGTCTAACAACACACTAATAACTGTTCATTTTAAATATGGATGTATTTTAAAGTAAAATTTCATTTGGGTACCCTGCAGATAGATTCACAGTCAATTCAACTAAAATAAAAAGAATCTTGCACCAAATGAAGGGGGCAGTAGCCTTTTATTCAGTGATGTTTCTTAGCCTCATAATTGAGAAGATCTAAAGGGAAAAATCCTCTGTTAGTAACCAGAAGCAATATTTATCCTTCTGAGTTTTGTAGTGTGATAAAATGACATTAAATTAGCTTTTTCCAAATTAATTCCATGATCTTGATAGCAGTAGTGCCACCGATTATATCAGGTAGTAATATGCACACGTTGTGTTGCTTAAACATTTACCCCAGTGTTCTTTAGATATAAAACTGCACCACAACCTTGGTTTGTGTTTGAAATCCATTTTAAATCAGTAGCTCTGCTTGTGAAGGTTTTCTTTTGACTTGTCCAAAGGTGGTCTAAAAATAAACTGTTAGTGGTGAAAATCGCAGCTGCCTGCACTGAAGAGAATGGGAGTGCTTTCTGTCAGAATTACCAGAAGCATTTTGTTTGGAAAGAGTAAGTAAACATTTCCCAAGCTTGCTTTACTACCTGCCTCTTGTATGCGAAGCCTGAAGAGTGCCAAAGTGAAACAGCTCTGGAGGTAGAGTTTTAAGATTTTAAATGAACAGGCAGAGACAGCTGACAGAATTTGGTCCTAGAACTTCAGTTAAGGTAATAGGAACAACTCCCACTGCTGCAGGGGTGAAGGACTGTTGTCTTCTCCATTGCCTTCAGTCACTCTCCCTCTGACATTGGTGTTAGCTGGGAATGCTCTGATTAATTGTTACTTGTTTTATGCTGAATCACTGCTCAGACCACAAAAAGCAGCGTGCACTCGTGGGGAACTGGCAGTACACCAGGAACCCCAGAGAGAACAGGATAAACCCTAAAGACGCTCCCTTCCCCAGCATCACATGGCCTTAAAAGGCCCTTCTAAGAGAAACGAAGAGGAGAAGAATCTGGAGCCAGCTCAAATGCCAAATAGGCTTTGTGAGCTGCCGTTACTTGTTGGAAAGAGGGGAGGAAGCTCTGCTGCATCAGCCTGATCGCTTGAGGGTTCAGAGCAGCTTAAGAGGATGGAAAGAACCTCGCAAAGTTGTTTGCAAAGCCTTATTAGAACATCTTGTGGCAGTTCCATCACCCTGCCCCTCAGTTAATCTTTGAGTCATCTCTTACTGCTGGCAAGGCACTTGTTGCCACATACTCGTAATGGTTATGTGGCAAGTAACATGTGTCACCTGGTTTTGCTGTGCCTATTGTCTATGTTCCTGACCTGCTTTATAGGAAGAAGAAAAAAAAAAAGTTGCTTGTCCCTGATCAGTACCCACTGAAGATTTCTGTTGGGAAAATTCCCATGCAAGGAGTTGAGAGTGGATAATGTGCTTTGGAGCAAATAGTAAAGTTAAAAGGGAAAAAGATAGGAAGCCATCACTACTATTTTTATATATTTTATTTATACAGTAAGTCAGCAGTCAAATGAGGAAAACAAATGCCATCACAAATCATGTGTCTAAGCAGATTAAAATACAACTTGATTTCTTTTGTATTTATATATTGAAGTGTTCTATTTTTACTTTTGATGTTAAAAATTCAAAAAAATAGTCATGGAAATTCAATTTGTAGTGGCTAAAAATTTGTCTAGTAAAATCTCAACATCTCATTTAGAGGAATAAAAGCCAGAAGGTATAGCTAAAGCAAAGCAGTTGTTCGACTTTATTAAATCTATTAGGAACTGGAGTTATTTGTAGGCAGACTGCCACTGTCCCACATTCCAGCTGTAAATAGTTAAGAAGTTTTCATGTAGTCAAATCAGGGAGACCTCTGGTGGAGAAATACAGTAGGCATATTTTTATGCCTCAGTGGATATGTATGAGCTCAGTAATTAAGTAAAATATCTTTTCTACCCTTATGGAAGAATGATTTTAAATATTTTAGCAGTCTATTAAGTTCTACTGTTTTACATAAAAGTATGTGTAATGGATAGAGACTTGGAAGGTAGGAAGAACAACTCCATTACCTGAAATACAGTCATCGTGGACTTAACAATTAACTAGAGGTGTTATGATTTTTATGAAAGTGCATGTTATTTTTTTAACATACACTTTTTACCTCAAGTACACTTTTTTTCCACCTACAAATACTGCTTTTTCTCTTGGTCTTAAAATTACAAACTACAGAAGAGAAGCTATGCATTCTAATAAAACTTAGTTTTGGAAAAACAGGTAGGTTGTCCTTATCTACAAACAATACTGTATTTTTGCAAGCTAATTACCATCTGTTTACAAAATTATTTCTAGCACAATAAAGAAAAAATCAGACTTCTTCAATACTTTAAAGTAAATACCAAAATGTATGTAAAAGTACTTATGAGTAAAGTAAAAATTCTGACAATATTTTATATCTGCTATTAATACTCAACATTAAAAAAGAAAAGGAATTGGAGACAATTTTACTAATTGCTTTCTTACATTTGTTCCTGAATATTACACTTTCACCTAATACAAGAGGCAGGACAAAAATGAAATGTATCACTTTTAAAGGATCTTAAATAGTTTTTCAATTAATTTCTATGATCTCCATTATGGACATTATAACCTTCTGCTTTCATTAGCTGAACCTTTTTAGAATCCTGGAAGAGTGCAATATCTTTAATTTTACCAGTGAATTCCTTCTGAAAAAGCCCTGCAGTGACTGTATGGATATTTCTGCCAATTTCAAACCCACCAAAATAACAAATGCCGCCATAATTTAAAGCAGTGTATTTTCTGTCTGGATCAATATCTTCAAAAATAATTAGTTCCTCATCAAGATACACCTTAATACAAGTTTGATTTTGGATTACAGTAACAAAATGCCATCTTTCATCACCACAGGTGGAGGAGTCTTTGCTGTGAATTAGAGGAACAGAGATTCTTTCACCAAGATTAATGACAACTTTTAATGTTCCGTTGGCTAGACCAATGGCAAGGAAATCATTGTCTTCATCTTCAGCTTTTCCCATCCATACCATTAAGGCTTCAGCTTGATTTGTAGAAAAATTTAAAGAAATGCGGGTATACTGGAGGTCTCGTTTTCCATAAAGAGGATCTATGTATTTGATATAGGAGTTACCAACAAACTTTGCAGTAAAAAATTTGATTTTACTGTCGCAGTGCTTACCTGACCAGCCTAGTGCACATGCACAGGTATATGAGAACAACGCAGGCTGAGGAATACAGAGAGCTCGAGACCCACACCTGTTCTGTGAACAGTGAACGGATTCTTCACACGTGTTCCCTATCCACCCTTGGGGGCAAGAACAAGAAAAGCCTGAGTTTTCAACCTGGCACCTTCCATTATTTTTGCACACTGAATACCCGCAAGCTGTTCCATCGCAGTCACCGACGTTGGCTCCACCTTTGGGGTCTGTCGCTGTAAGCTTCAGTTCTCTGTCATTTATAAGAATTTCTCGTATACAGCCGCTGAAACCTGTGGGTTCGTCTTCTACTGCCATTGAGTTGACAAGACTTAGAGAAGACACCCCTCCAACATAAAAATCTGTGTGCACATCTAGTGCCTTCATTCCAGCGCTGCCTTTCTGAGTAATGTTGGTACCATCCAGGTCCAGGTAGCCTTCATTACCAACTCTTCCTGCTTTGAGCAAATGCCATGTTTTTCCATCTGCGTGGATCTTCTGAAGAGCCTGTAGGATGATTGTCTTGTCTCCTAAATTATAGCGTAGCTGTATAAATCCGTTTACTAATGATATACATAGAAAGTCACCTGTAGAAAACAGTGTAAAATAGTTTTACTTTTTAGAGGCAGTGTGTTGAAAAATAGCATATTCATGATCCTGATAGGCCTGCATTTCCCCAATTCAGTAACTTATTTTCAGTGGCCTTGTACCTTCACTTTATGTTAATTGTACAAAGGGCTATGTTCCCTCATGAGCTTCTTGTGATTCTCCACTTTTTTTTTTTCTCTTATTGGAAACTGAGCCCATGTTTTCTCAGCTTCAAAGAAACATGCCCAGCTTTCTGAAAAGCTCTGCCTTGGTGCAGAGGCTAGATAACTGGGGGGTAGGAGGAAACGGGATCACTTTGACATTCAGGGAATGTGAGTTGGTGTTCCCATGAAAAAGAATAAAGTTTTGGCTGAGATATAAATGCTACAATAAACTGAATTTCCATATGTTGAATAGAGGTTTGATGGATTTGTCAGTTTAATGACACTGAAGGTTGTCTGCACCAAACATACTCTGCTTTCCCCCCAGCTTCTTTTTGCAACTGTGCTGTGTTGGGTTTAATGATCTGACAGCTGTAGGAGTAGATAAGCCTTTTTATTTATTTATTTAATTGCTCTTCTGGAGGCCTCCATGACAAAGAATTAGGTGGAGGTATCTCTCTTGTACTATCAGGTGTTTCTGGCCTTACAAGCAATATGAAAGGAGAGACAAAACCTCTTTGAATTATACTTACAAATGAGGAAAAACTAGGAAAACTTAGGAAGCAGGAGCTGGAAGGAAGGTATGGAGGGCAGAGATAGAGTCTGCCAGGGAAAAATGACAGGGAGGCAGAGGAGGGCAGCAAAAGAGTTTGTGCAAACAAAGTTCACTTTTTTTTAACTTTTTGGTATTTGCCTTCACAATTCAACTTTTTCAGTTTAACCTTACTTTTGGAAGTAATAGGTATGAGGTATATTTTTAAGTTAAGCTTACTAAATTGATAAGTTTATTAAATCTGAATGTATACTTTCCTAGTTATCAGTAAAACCTAATTTTTAATGTAGTGTTTTGCTAAGGAAAGAAATATTTTTAAATTGGGAAAGTACAGGTTAGTTAAAAATTCAACTTTCATAAGGGTGGACCTGTTAGTACACCGAATAAAATTTGTTTAATTTGTTTTCTTGTAGGTTAATTTATTTATTTATTTATTCATTTATTTATTTATTTAAAAAAAAAAAAAAAAAAAAAGAATCCCTGAATTACATTGCTTTTAGTAAAGTTAAAAATGAATGGCTGAAAGATTTTGGAAGTTACTCAAATTGTACCTCTCTTTTGAGCAATTGCTTAGGCTCACATTCAGAGA